GCAAGGTCCCCACCTCCTCTTCAGGTTTACCCGGCCAGTGGCAACGCCACCATCCACACCCTGCTGTCCCCTCTCTGGCTCTGGGCCTGTAAAGAGGACAGCCTCAGCCCAGAGACCTGGGGACCAATTGCTCCTCCAGAAGATGTCTCTCCTGCATCATTCTTCCAGCAACTAAAAATGCTGTCACCACGTCAGCTGCAACAAATGTGTGTGTCCGCAGCACCAGGCAGGCCATGAGTCACTCACCAGTGGGGCATTTCTCATGTTTGCTTTCATTACCAGAACTTTATTTCCATTGGGTGCACCCTTGGGAGTCGGTCAATGTCTAGGCCAGGCAAAGGTGTTGAGAAGCAGGAGCGTAGTCCGCTCCATCTGAACACCAGCACCAGGGCTTTGCCTCCCACTCACTTCCTTCAGTAAAACCTACACTGGGAGCACAGTCATTACAGGAGTGCAGAGCAGGGGGACTGGGAAGGGCACTGCGGAAGACAGTAGGGGAATTGGCCCAGCACCCAGGGCTCTGCAGCCACCCAGCCCATGGTCGCCTCCCCAGCCACCTAGCCTCCTTCCCTATCCTGCATGGCCATCTGGCCTCCAGGAGGAAGAAAATCAACAGCAGACCCAGACAGAAACCTTGCAGGCCAGTGACAGCCTGAGACACAACTAAACCCTGCCGGGACAGCCGCATCCTGAACACCAGCTCACCCGACACAGATGGGGACCCCTCCCCACTGCTGGGGGTCATGTCAGATGAAGGGTCTCCCTGGAAGACAGTCAGGGAAGTTTGTCAGGTCCTGAGAAACCGGGGTCATCTCAGGGTGGGACGTGTACTCTTCGGATTTCCGAAGCAAGTTGGAAATTTGTGTCCACACAAGACTCACCGGCAGATGGGTACAGCAGCTTTGTCTCCAGCACCTAGGCTGGGAAGCACCCCAGACACCCTCAGCAGGGGAGGGTAACTGCAGCTCCCGCAGAGAGCAGAATGACACTTAGACTGAAAATGTTTGCTTGTGCTATGGAGCCACGAAAAGGCAAGGCAAACTGCATGTGTATCTGGAGATATGAGAAGCAAGGGCAGGGAGGCTGCCTCCAGGGCTCCAGAGGCAGAGCTGTGGGCAGGAAGTGGTCAGCAGTCACAGGAGCTGGAGGGGAATGAATGGTGGAGCCCGGAAGGTCTGAGGGCAGTAAAGCTGCTCATGTGACCCTGATGGTCCATCCACGAGGGAGGGGCCCCTGTAAGGCAGATGCAGAGATGCCCCCTGAGGGTCACAGACAGCAGGAAACCGCAGGGCATGGGGGACCCGCTGGGTCTTCTGCTTGATTTTTCTATCTATAAAAGTTCCTCTACCAAAAGTCTTTTTAAAGGCAAGAATGTTCTGTCACTCAGCCATGGGACTTGATATTTTCATTGGCAAAATGGGCAGGAAACTCTCCAGCTGGCTGTGTAGCAATGTGGTGTCACCTAGATAAGATAGTTCCCAAAACCGCCTCCTCCTCCTGGGACCCCTCTCATTACCCCATCTGCTCTAAGCCCACTTGGCCCTAGGACCAGAAGAGCTCCTGCAGTAGGCACCCTGACTCAGGCTCCCCGGAACACAGATGGACTGGAACCGCCAGGGGAATGGATGGCAGGTCTCCTGCAAGGTGACCCCACAGGGCATGGCTGTTGGCCTACTCAGCTGTCCACTGGGGACAGGGCCTGGGTCTGGGCCAGGGGGCTAGAGGCCAAAGGGGATGAGAGGATGACAGATGGCTGGACAGTCAGTCAAGCGCAGTGGAAGGCTCAGAGGCGAGACACCCATCTCTCACCAACCCCACAGCAAGCAGGGGCGTGCAGCCAGCCCAGGGCAGGAATCAGAGGCCTGGGGAACCCTACCTGCAACCGTGAGCCATCCAAAGATGGACTGTGGCTGTGGGGGTGCTCCGTGATACACCATCAAGATGCCCCAAGGCTGCCCTGATGGCCCCATTCCACCCAGAAGCTGGGGTCCCCCCATCCCCGCAGCAGTGAGTGAAGGTCCCCACGTGAGCACAGTGAATGGAAGGGTCTGCCCTTCTCCACCCAACCTGTGCTGCCAGGGAGCAGACCCAGGCTGAGGGACAGCACCTTCTGCTGCGCAAAGCTAGACTTAAGGTGGACTCGGGGCCTTGGCCCCATGCCCTCCAAGCCTCAGAGTTCAGCCCTGTAGTAACCAATACCTCAAAAAGACTTCCTAGAACTCTGGGGACCCACACTATTCAGAACGGGGGACCATAACTATCAACTCTTCCCACCAAGGGGAAAGAAGAGCTAAGACAGGGGAGCCAGCACTGGGCACCTTGCAGTGAGGCCAGGAAGAGTGTGCATGGGCTGTGAGGGCACTGAGTGGAGCCCCAGTGAGAACAAAGTGCTGAGGGTGCCAGGGGGCAGGGAGCACATGCCGCTGTGTCTCCTGATTAATATGAGCAGCATCACAGGTTGTGGGCTGAGGGATGCAAAACCCCAGCCGCGAGGGCAGAGCAAAATATTCTGCGATGAAACAAGCCCTGGTCCCTGCTGTCAGCATCAGCCCCAGCGGACACAGCACTTCACACACATGTGCACAGGAAAGCAGTACCATAGCCACTGCTCCCTAAACAGAAATGCATGCCTTCCTTCCTGACACTAGTCAGATCAAAACGCTACTTTCGCTACCAGTTATTACCCTGAAATAATCAAGAATGAAATGCTGGTCCAGTAATCAAATTCCAGGCAGAGCTGCCGCTCGGGGGTGAGCAGCTCCTGAGTCAGAGCTGGAGTCCCCAGAGTCCCTGGCCAAAAGGCCGATCCATGCCCAACCCTGGACCGAGGTCTCTTCTACCAGGTGAACTCAGTGTTACAGGCCCTGCCTCCAACGGCCCCACCATCATGGACTCTGGGGGGAACCACAGGTGAGGTGTGCGCTTTGTCTCAAGGCTCAACACTGCATTTCGCCATCCATGAGATTCCATCTGGCTGACCCTGTCCCTGCCACAGACCCTCAACTTGGCACCTGGCCAGGTGGGGGTGGCATCGAGCTCCTGTGCAGCCTCAGAAAGGACAGACCCAGAGAGAACGTGCTTTCCAAACCTCGTAGCAGGCCCCAGAGCCCCATCCCTGCAGGTACCGAGTTCAGTCTCATTCATCAATGCACAGACTCGCTGAATAATGAAGAAGCCGGGAAGTCAAATGGCATGCAAGGAAAAGCGAAATCATTTCAGAAAAGAAAGAGCACCTGTGATTTTAAAGTTACCAGTGCTGGTTTACTGACACTAAACGAGAGGCGTTAAGTCCTTCAGTGAGCACACAGGACCATGGACAGAGGGCGTTTGCTGGTGGGGAAGGGCTGACCTGTGCTCAACAGCAGTGCACATCTTGCCAGTGAGCACGGTCACTGTGTGCCACTTATTTTCTGGTTATCCACTTTCATTTTTAACTACAAATAAACTGAAGTGACTTGGTTTAACAAGAAAAGCAATGCTCACACCCACAGACATTTAGTATTGAGAAAATCTGCAATTGCAGGGCAAGCACTGACTTCCTGTAGAGCTGTCTGCTCTTCTGGCAGGTGTCTGCTCACGCCATGACCTGAGACCTTCTCATCCATGCAGTTACTCTTAATAATGTCCTCTGCCTGGGCCACAGACCCTGCAGAAGACTGGCGTCTTCCCACGTCCGGGAACTACGCATCACATGTCTGAGTGCTCCCTGAGATCTGGCCTCTAACTGATGCTCCAGTAAGGAAATACTTGTTGCTGGATGCCCGTGAGACCCACATGGCCAGGCAAAGTCCTGCTGCCGTAGTTGTGAGCAGATGCAAAGCCACGGAGTGCTCCATTTTAACACCAAGCCTCCGTAGGGCCACACATCCTAGCTCTGGGGACAAAATTATGAATGGAGACATCAAACTCCACCTGGATGGGGGAGGCCAATGACAGCTCCTGCCTGGGCATGCTCGGTCCTTCCTAGCGTAACCTCTGCAGGAGACAGCGGGAACTAGTGAGCAAGGAGTTACCAGACGCCTAGCGCACAACATTCAGCCTCACAGGGAAGGGGCTGGACCCTGCCACTCTGTTTAGCAAGGTGCCTGTTTCTGCACAAGAGAGAGCGAGCAAGCCCAGCAAGATGTGTCCACGGAGTGCAAGCAAGAGAAGGGGGACCAGTGCGCCCCTCACCTGCTACCAAGTCCCTGCAGCCGAGCCATCTGGGGGGTGTGAGCTGGTGCCCGATGTGTCAGCAACCCCCAGGCAACTGTGCCCTCCACAGCCTCGCAGCCCCCATGCCTCGGAAGATGCTGCTTCCTCCCCAGGGCCAAGGGAGTGACTTGGTCAGCACGGAACACCAGATCCCCTGCTCTGCTTCAGAAGTGGCTTTCTGCCTGCCACAAAGACAAATGCAGGCAGCGCCTCACAGCAGGCTCCTCAGCCCAGCATCTCTTCTCTTTTCCTCTGCCTCCTGCAGCTGTGAGAGGCACCAGCTCCCCCTGCACCAGGCATCACAAAGGAAGCCCATCTGCATCTCCACTCTATCTCCTGCAGATCCCTGATCTACTCATTCCCCAAGGAATCCTGAAGCAGCAGCCCAGCAAGAGCCAGCCAGGAGAGATCTCGCAATACGGATCACTCTGGTATTCAGTGATTATCGGGGGAATGGTTCATTGGAGACTGAACTTGTCTTCACAGAACGATAGTGCTATAGTTCTGGACTGCTGCGCCCCCAAATCCTCCATGGCAGTTAAAATGCTCCTTGATTGCAGTAATACTCGTTCCCCAGGCCACCGTTACTGTCCCCGGAAGAGGAGTACTGGACTTGAAAAGCAGTGCAGCCTAGGGCTGCGAGTCAGGGCAATGAAAAAGCATGCTGCAAAGTACTGAGAGGCAAGCATCCCCTGGGCTGACCAGCGCAGTGCTAACCAGCTCCTCAGCATCTGCCTGACGCCACAGCTCAGTGCAAGTGCACATCCATGGGGCAAAAAGTAAGAAATGAGTCATCCTTGACTTACCGAAGCTTGGTGACAGCTGCACTGCTGGCAGCATCCAAATGCAAGGAGCAGAGGCTTCTCGGTAGGCAGAGAGGGGCTGCGTGCTTGGGCTGGAGGGAGGCTAGGAGGACCCAGCGTGCATCCCCGCTCCGGTCAGCCCCTACTCCAGCCAGGCTGCCATACAGCTCTGCAAAACAAGCACACTGCAGCAGGGTGGCGGGTGGAGGACCGAGATGCATGTCCCATATATTCAAGCATAATAGAAAACATGGATCTGGAGTGGACTGCATGTGGATGTGGGGGCTGCCTGGAACACAGCGGAAGAGGCAGGCGCGTGGCTGCTAATGGAATTAGCCATGGAGACGGACGCCTTGATTAGTGTGCTGTGCCGTCCCCCGGGACATCGATTACAGAGCAGGTGCTTGGTCTGCTGCCTCCTCGGATGGCCGTCTCTAATCTCATTTCACCAATGATCCCATTTAGGCAGAGCCACGGATTGTGATGATATCACTTGCTTGGGGAGCCATACATGGGCAACTTCCTAGGGTACGTCACCACACTGACGACACAGGGCTTCACAAGAGTGAGTGGGCAAGGTGCTGGGAGAGGCTGCGCACCTACAGCTCCTGATGGCTGGCTGCTCCCTGCCTCTGTGGCCATCCTCAGGGAAGCTGCAGGGGACAGGAGAGCCCTCCACTCAGCTGAGCTGCAGGCGGGCAGGAGCCAGTTCCGGGCAGGGCGGGAGGAGAGTGCAGCTTGAGCGCTGAAGCACGCTGTCCTCCACACAGCCCTCTGCATGCCGCCTGGATGCTGCCAGGCTGGAATCACAGGGAAAGTGCTCTGTGCACAGTGACGGTCTGGGTCCTTTGTGACTGCTGGCATTTGAGGCTCCACCAACAGCCACCACCATGTGTCTTACTCCACAGAGCCACAGATGGAGGGACAGATGCAAAAGGGAAGGTGAAGTGTGACCCAGGTCAGGGTGGCCAAGGGTCCTCACTTGCGACAGAAAAGCTTCCCTTAGGTGCAGATGCAGTCAATGAGCTGAGATTTATGCACACATTATTCTCTTCAAGTCTGCAGTCTCTTCTGCCTGCAAAGAAAGCTGGTGGTGAAATCCAAGAGCAAAGGGAAGGTTGGGGAAGCTGCCTGTGAGTATGGGGAGCAGGGACAGTGCTCAGGCATGTGCTTCTCACGTAGGTCTCCCCAGATCTGCCCTCAGCACGCCAGTGACCCACTGGTGAGCACAGAAAAGGCACCGTGTCCACAGAAAGCTTCACTGTGAATAGGAGCATGATGTTTTCGGGCTAAATTAGACTAGCGTGTAACTGGAGACTATCTTCTGGGCCAGTGGTGAGTTCTACAAAGACAGAGTGCTTCACTCCATACTGGACTTGCTGTTGGAAAAGTATCCATGAGTTAAACCCACACACATTCACAAGAGTCTACATTTATTATTCAAGGTCAAAATGCCAAAATGCACCAAAGCTCTAAATCTCCTTTCCTCGTACCTGCCTCACCAAGGCACCGGTTCCTCCCAGGGATGTCCCTGAGCTTGGTCTCAGAGACACTGGGACAGCTGCCTGCTGCCTGGACGAGCTCACACATGGGCTGTGTCCTCAGCAGGGATATCACTGTCACTGGGTGTGCTGAACACATCCCCTAATTCTGCCCAGCCAGGTCCCCAGAATGGGATCTTACTTGAAGCATGACCTTTACAAATTCAATTAATAAAGGATCTTGATGAGCTCTTACTTGATTTAGGAAGACAGCATCCTTACAAGAGGGGACTGAGACGCAGAAACTGCAGTGAAACAGCTGCATTAAGGTGGAATAAGACTGAGTGATGCGTTCACACTGCAGGAGCCAAGGGTCCCCTCAAGAGCAGGAACAGGCAGAGGCTAGGGTGGGCGCTCTTAGGACTCCACATGGTGTGGGCCCTGCCAATGTTGCACCTTCAGACTCCTGGCCTCTAGGAAGGAGAGGGGATTAATGTCCCTGACTATAGCCATTTGTCCATGGTGCTGTGCTGGCATTGCCCCAGGAAACTATTGTTGCTGGATGTGACCAGTTGCTGGTCCTGTGGCCCTAGATATGTTCAAGGGCTAGTTCCAAGGTTGTGAATATGTCCCTGCCCTGACTATGTCCTAGATCTGTCTGAGCACTGATTCTGGGCTCAGGTCAGACCCCAGGACATGACACAACAGACCTCAGAGGAAATTCTTCAAGCCAGACTCAGGTCCTGGATACCTACAGCCCAGCAAGCAGCCAGTCATGTGTGTCTGAACATCTCCCCAACCCATCCTGGGTCCTCCCAGTCTCCAGTGCTAACATAGCTGACTCCTGCGAAGTGCCACCTATCCACTAGCCCTTGTCACCTCCTGCTGGCATGTGCTCCATCACCCTGGAAGTAGAGCCCACTCACCACACAGCCTCTCACAAGAAGAGGGCCAGGACCAGGGTGCAGCCTGCTGCCCCTCACAATGGTGTCTGTCTACAGAGCAGATCAGGCCAGAAGAAGCCAGAGACTGGCAGCAGCTGCACCTGCCCTCCTGGAGCTCCTGGCAAGAAGAGGCCAAGTGAGAAAACTACAAGAAAGGTTGTGCTCATCAATCCCCACAACCAATGAGGTGGGTGGTGTTCTTGGAGACAAACTGAGGCACTGCTGAACAAAGAGCCTAGACCACCAGACTCAGGGTGTGGCTCCGCAGCCCACAGCCCTGACCCAAAGATGTGCCTCACTGAGAAAATCAGAGTGACTAGCAGCACACAGGGGGCAAATACTAGCAGCCCAGGGGATGGGCAAGAATGAAGGGCAACCGGAACCATGACAGCAGGCTGGAGCACTGTTTGAGGTGACCCGGGCACCACTGGGCTCAGGGTCTTCAGGGTACGGACAGCCTGAGGTCTGAGAACATATGGGCACTGCAAGGGGCCCTAGGGACCTTGTGCCATCCCCAGAACACAAGCTCTGCAATGTTACTAAAGCAGATGCTGCTGGGGCACTGCCATCCATCCCAGCCACAGCTCCTCAGAGCTAAGCAGTGTGCTGAGTGGAAGTATCCATCTTTGAGCTTTGCTAAAATCTTCTGGGGTGACACGGGCCACCACCATAGGGGAAACTGAGGTTCAGATGTGCTAGGTGACTTGCACAGTGACACGGTGTGCTCCTGACTTCTAACCCTGCAGTCAGAGGCACGGCCCTTGTGTGTCACATCGAGGACATGCCAAGCTCCTCTCAGAAGTGACTAGGACAGCTAGCTCACAGCCATACCAGGGACAGGTTAAACAGCCCACGTGCTTGATGAATGCAAACTCCAGGCTGACCAGCTCTGAGAAGCCACTGGCCCCCAGCCAACCTCCTCTAGGATGCCTGGGGCTGCCACTGTCACCGAGCCTGGCTGAGAACCCTCGCATGAGAGGAGCAGAAGGCCACCTACAGAACTGTACCCATGGCGTCATGCTGCGCAGACTGGGTCAGATGGTGCGCAGACAGCACCACCAGTCGGTGTGGGCTGCAGGACCCAGTGTCCAGGGGCATTTCAGACCTCGGCCAGCGGCCCTCAGGAACTCAGCTTGTCCTCATGGCTTGAAGAAAGCACAGCCTGCTTGTGAAGCAACTTCCCAGTCTCCACCGCAGGTTTCCAGACAAAGGCAAAGAGGAGGCCCTGCCAGTGAACAGGCTTGATACCCACAGAGGCTGCCACCCGGGAGGAGCTGGTCCTGCCAACACTGTGTCCCCAGGCTTGGGGCCTTTAGGAACACGATGGCTCCGCACATGGGCACTGAGTGGGGCCCTGGTGCGCCTGTCCCTCGCAGGATTGCTGAGCTCCCTGAGGCCACAAGCAACAGAAAGCGTTCACGACCATGGGTTCGCACCATCCATGGAAAGAAGAGCAGGGACTGAGGAGCCAGTACACAGGACAGCCGGTGCCGACACCTCCTCAGCTCTGCACCCTGAGATGTCTCAGCCTCAACAAGTGCTTTGCTTTGCTACACTAAGTTAAAGGTACTTCCCTGGAAATGCACCGTAACCTCTACTGTGGTACCAATGAGCGCAGTCACAGTACTCAGAGATGAAAGGCTATAAGGTGTTGGCAACAGTCCTCACTCAGAGGAAGTTAACGAGAGGCCCTCTGGTACCTGGTGCCTGCTACACTCCCAGAAAGACAGCTGGGGTTTAGAGCTTAGATTTCTGATCTCTCAGAGGTCGGCAGAAGAAATCAAGATGGTACAGCCAGAAATTGCAGAGACAGTAAACAAACTTCAGAATTCTCAGGGCAATGCCATTGATAGCTATAAAAGGGAAAATAATTGGGCAATTAAAGATTTTTGCCCTTGTTTACACATAATAAAAAATAATTTTGTAAAACTGAAACCACGAGCAGCATTTGAATGTGTTGAGTAACATGAACAGTGTGTAACTGAAATTTACCTGTGAGTATGACAGTGAATTTTAATTTATTCATGTTTCCTAATAACCTCTGTTAATACAAAGGATCGGCATCAATTTATCACAACTTCATGCATATATAATGAGGACTCTGTGTCCTGGTGTCAGAACTGCTCTTTCATCAAGCACTTCCACAGGTTGTAAAGATCAAAGGTTGCAGTGGCAACTCCACAACTCAGGCAGTTTCTTGCAGTGAAACATGTATCTTAGGGGATGCACAATTTTCTGAAGTACCAAATACCATCTCTCCTTTCTACTGTTGTGACTCACTAGAAATGAAGGCAGAGGACTTAAGAGGGGGTTAGCATGTGCTGAGATCCTACCAGGTAGTTGTAAAATTTCAATTGGACTAAGGCTCTGCAGCCTCTTGGATACAACTGGCTGGGTATTTTCATTCTGAAACTGAAAACAGTTTAGCAGGGTCAAAATTCAAATACAACTTGATCAGACCTGAAGTGAGTTCTGGCTCCAGCACAATATGAACAGAATTCCCAGGACAGGTAAGTCAGCATCCTTTGCTCAGGACATCAGGAACTGCCCTCAGAAAAAGTTACACAGCCAGCCAGAAAACAGTGACTGTTGGAACGCAGATTCAAGACATGCAAATGTCTTGAAATCAAGACCCAAAATAAATGTGCTAGGGAAAAGAGGAGAGAACAGGGGAGAGGTTTGGAAGTGAACTAAAACAGAGGGTCATGCAGAGCCCTGGGCACTAACAATCCCTGTGCCACCTGTGGAGCTGTGACAAACTTGAAATATGGACCCAGAGACCTCAGAGAGGCACAGGCACTTAGGAGGAGCGGCTGGGACCACAGAATGACACGGCAAACGTTGTAGGCCACCCACACAATTATTCCACAGGACACAGCTGACCAGGATCATTTCAAAGGTTATAATCAGAACAATATGAACAGGTTCTCCTGAAGTGAAAGTACAATTTTGAAATACCCCTACTGGTTCAGCACTGCTTTAGGGAGTTACGACAGAGACCTGGCCCCTGAAATAGCCCCACCTGG